TCACAGTCCCTTCTCCTTCATTCTCTTCATGGGATTTTGGGCATGTATAAGCACTCAGCATGATTTTCAAGCCTCTGGGTCTGGGACTTGAACTGTGCTTGACCAGGTAGTAGTCCAGTAACTTAACCACTACTCTACCTTCTGGGCCTCAAGAGACTTTCTTTGACCTTCTTTCTTCATATTTTTTTTCCTTCTTACCAGAGTTTGTTTTTGGTTTGTTTGTTTAAACATGCCATATAACCATATTTGTACATATATGGCTTTTACTACGAGATCACAAATTAAATGGAATAAAGTGAAGCTGTTGGGACTTAGAACATAGCTAGCATTTCCTAACAGTCTACTGACTGTGTCTTTCAGGAGAAATGTTATATACATTTGTTCTATGCCATAATGGTTGATACTCTAGTCCCTTAGCCCCTGGTAAGAATTGCTTAGCAATATGTTAGGAAGGTGAGAAACATAAGGCAGTGTCAGAAATGCAGTATACAGTTGAATGTTAGTAGCTAGGAACCAAGACTGATTATAAACCTAATGACATGAAATGGATAGTATGGCTGAAAAATTGTTTACCTGTAATGATTGAAAAACAGGAGAGACCAGCAGTTGGCGTAATGGCTATGTCACTGGACTCCCATGTAGTTGACAATGGTTCAAGTCCTGGACCTGGTGGCTTAAACTCATGCCAGGCACGTGGGTATGAGTGCCCAAGATCCTGAGAAGAGAATGGAGGAGAAGGGATTGTGGTGTGGCCATCCCCCCCAGTGGGAGGGAGGGTGATTTCTCGCTTTCTGTCCCTCAGTCTCTCTCTTTCTGGCGAGCGCATGTGCCCTATGGCAAAAACCTCTCCAAAAAAGAAAAACAGGAAAGATACTATATTACCAGTTTCAAATGCATTATTTCACTAAAACAAACCAAAACTTAAAGCCATACACATCATGAAGTCCAAGCTTGGCTAAAAAATTTAGAAAAGTTTTTCAAGAGGCTCTTTGCTCCTTTCTATTTCTTTTCATAAGAAAACATACTACTAGGGTTTAAAATACAGATAAAGATTTTGCTTCTTTGTATATTTTTTCATATCCCAAGTTTAACTCCTATTCTATTGATCAGGAGAAAGATTAATAATCAACTGGCTTATGTTGCAAAGGGTAATCAGTGGGGCAATAAGGGCCAAATAAAAATAAGAGTCTATGGGACCAGCAGTTAGCGTAATGGCTATGTTGCTGGACTCCCACATAGTCGACCGTGGTTCGCATCCCGGACCAGGTGGCTTAAAACTCATGCCGGGTGCGTGTGTGTGCGTGCCCAAGATCCCAAGAGGAGAATGGGGGAGAAGGGATTGCGGCGTGACCATCTCCCTTGGGGGGTGATTTCTTGCTTTCTGTCTCTCTGTCTCTGTCTGTCTGTCTGGTGAGCGCACGCACCCTATCGCAAATACCTCTCCAAAAAAAAAAAAGAAAAAAAGAGTCCTTAGGACTCACGTAGAAGAGCAGCCTTATTTCCCGCCATCTAGTCCTAATAGGTCTTTGTTTCTGAGGGAAAGGGGAGGGCAGACACACACGGAGAGAAGGAATGGCGATGAAGGATGAGTTAGAGTCTCACCTTGCAGTGTACCTGCTAACACCTCATCATTAAGATGAGTCAGGAATGGTTTTGGATATCACATTCTATTTATTTCCTGTTAAATTCAAATATCTTTCCAAGAGCTCCTGGACTTTGTATTATAAACTTTGGATACCTGGCAATAATTTTCAGCTACCATAACCTGTTTCACCATTTTGATTTTCTCTTGGCAGTGGGTCACGGGGAAAATGCAATTAAAAGGAAAAATTGCTATGTAAGGGAAACCTAGCTATGTTAAGAGATGAAATAGTGAAAAAGTTAAGCAATGTTATGGTTAGAATCTCTGCTCTTAAAGAGTATATTTGCCAAATAAAATGGATTGTATGTTTTTGTTTCTGTGGCATTATCATTATGTATTTTATTCTATGTAGCATAAGAAATTGTAGTTGGAAACTTGTTAAATAGTTCCTGTTGTGTAATAGCAACTCATAAATACTGTGCTTGATAAATCTAAATCGTGAAGACAAGTTTATTCATTTTAATATCTGAGTGTTATTCTTTTTATTCACTAGCCTGCTTTATTTTCTGCCTTCCTTCCTAGTTTTTATTTGAATTTACTGAAAAATATTTATTAATATTGGACTTTGTACAAATAACACACGGAAATATATAATTGATAAAACAAATGCCTGTATTAGTGGTGTTTGCCAGTAGAAAGATAAGACATATGAAATAAAAAGTATTAAAAAATAAGGCTATGAAAACATCAGCAGTCCCAGGAGATTCACCAATTCAGTTTATCAAGGAAAGTTTTTATAAGGGAACTATCTCACCTAGTTCTTAAATCTATTAATTTATTTATGGTTTTCATTCATTCATTAAAATAACTTTTTTTTTCTTTTTTCTTTTTCTTTTTTTTCCTTTTTTTTTTTTTTTGGAGAGGTTTTTCACTACAGGGCACGTGCGCTCGCCAGACAGACAGAGAGAGAAACATAGAGACAGAAAGCAAGAAATCATCCCCCAGAGGAGATGGTCACACCGCAATCCCTTCTCCTCCATTCTCCTCTTGGGATCCTGGGCATGCACGCACACGTGCCCGGCGTAAGTTTTAAGCCACCGGGTCTGGGACACGAACTGCGGTCAACTACGTGGGAGTCCAGCGACATAGCCATTACGCTAACTGCTGGTTCCCTCATTAAAAGAACTTTTGAAGACCTTTTTTATTCCAAGAATGGTTACAGACACTGAGAGTTCAGAGGTAAATATTACAACAATAGTCTGTTCTTTCATAGGTCTTAGCGTCAAGTGAAGAAAATATACAATTAAAACTGTCCAATTACATAATTGTGGAAAGCTCTGAAAGAAACCTAGAGAAAGGTATTAGGACATATAATAAGAGATCTAATTTAGAGGCCTCAGGAAATGCTTTGTTGAGAAAGTGATGTAAAAAGGGAGTCTTGGAGAGTAAAGAAGATTAGTGGATGAGGGCTGGAGTAATGGGCATCAGGAAGGATTTCTTCTGCAGATAGACAGCGTGTGTGAAGATCCCAAGGCTGCTGGGATTGTGACATTCTTGAGGAATGGAAGGAAGACCTTTGTAGGAGAAATAGATAAAAAGAGGAAGCTTTTATGGAGTGAAGCTGGAGACCTGGCCTTGCCTTGAGGAATTTCAGTCTCTTCAGTGAAGTTACTTGCAGGGTTTAAGCAACAGTAGCTACTGTTGTGTGGAATAGAGAGAAAGTCAAGGAGCCAGTTGCAAGGCTATCTTGGGAGTCCAGATTAGAGGTAATAGTCCCTTGGATGGGGTATGGTTTTGGCAGTGGAGATAAGGAGAAGTGAGTGATTCAAGATCTGTTATGGAGGGAAAACAGACACACTTTGGTTCATTGGAGTGAGAGGGTCAGGAGGACACTAAGGTTTCTGGCTGAGAAATGGCAGATCTTGATATTCTTTGGAATAATGAGGAATGCTGTGTGCAGTTTAAGATCATGAATTCAAATCTGAGACACTCTCATTGTAATAAAACCACGAGACATGGATGTGCAACTGAATATGTAAGAGTAAGTATGCCTCTCAGAAGAGAGAGCATGGCTGCGGATGAAACGGAGAATCAGGGGCTTGGCAGTGGGTTTTGAAGTCCTTTGAATCTTAAGAATGAATATTATTTGGACCAGTAGAATGATATTTTTATTTTAGACACAATTTTTACCACGTGGTATTAAAATACATACTTCATTCTTCTGCAATGATTTTAGTACCATCAGGGAGAATATTTTCCCCTCTTGAGTAACACTTCTCTAACATTGTAATATAAGTCAAGTGGAGAATAAAATGTATTTAATTAAACTTGCCTTACAATGTAAATAGTTGGACTTATATGTTAATGAGTAAATTTTTTTCTTTAATTTTCTTTATGGGTATTCCTCTTCCCACCCATTTTCCAGTAAATGCTTTTGAATGGCCACATATTAGAAGAGATTTGATGGGTTGAATCATTTCTTAAATGAAGATATTTTGTAAGTAACATGTTTTCCCAGTAAAAGATAGGGTTAAGTGTGGAAATATTTTAAACATGAGCCAAAGTTATAATTATCATCTAATTTCTTGCTTTAAAATTCTATTTTATGTGCTTAATAGTTCCTTTCATCAAAGTTTTATAAAATCTTTCCCATCGCAGGTTCTAACTGAAACATGAAACATGCTAACTCCTCATAATTGAATAACAGATTTTAATTCATTATCTATGTAATCTCTAGCAAAGCATATTACATTTGACTTTCCTTTTTTTAAAAAAAGGAAACACTTCAAATGTCTCTCCATGCTCTAAGATTTACAATATCCATATTGTTTACATAGTAGCATAAGTTTTGAGGAAAAAAAAAACAAAGAAGCAAAGAAGAAACTCTTTCTGCACAACTCTGAAGGAATTACTGAATAGCATAGAGAAGGAGTTGGAAAAATTTCTGTTTATTATAAGAATGTAGCCCTGATCTAAAGTAAGGATGGAATTGCTCATTAAATAAATTCAGAATTCACAGAGCCAGCTCATTTTGTGGTTTCAGTGATAAAATTAAAATGGCTGCTACACTGAACTCTGTGATTAACTATACTTCATGATGATTTAACATACTAGAAAGATTACAGTATTCTTTCTTTTATCTGAAGTTTCTCAAAATGTCACCATCTTCATCTCTTTAATAAACCGGGATCTGAATCCCGATTAACCAATGGGCTGATGTTTCTGCACACGTATGCAAATGAATAGGACTAAGTAGCTTTTATAAGATCCTGACAATTTGCTGATGTGTATTATTTCTCTCTTTGTAATATTTACATGAAAAAGAACACTTATTTTGGGACAATCATATTATCTTCTAACTTGTATTGTTACCTGGTATCGTGATTCAGCCTCTTGCTGTATTGTCTTTGTCTTGAAGGGATCGCCTACGATCCTCTGATGCTGAAACACCAGTGCATTTGTGGCAATTCCACCACCCACCCTGAGCATGCTGGACGAATACAGAGCATCTGGTCACGGCTGCAAGAAACTGGACTGCTAAATAAATGTGAGGTAATCCTGAATTGGCCACACTCTTTTACGTACTTACATAAATCATGTAAAGAGGCCAGTATTCATTTGGGTTGTAGTAGAAAAATGTTAGCCATGTAGTACAAACATAGTGATTGATGAACCATCGTAGACACAAGCAGCAGAACTTTCTACCTGACTCTGGGCTGGGCACACAGTAGGTCCTCAATCAATGTAGATGTATGCAGCAGCTGCCTGAAGTGTGTGCCCTGTTATTACAGCATTATTGTGAGCTTATGGTAGTATTCTTGTTTGCAGACAGGCATCATTTACTGAGTTAATACTCTGAGAAAACTCTTGGGGCAAATTGTTAAGTGCAAAGTAATTGCTATTTTTATTTGTTATAAGTTATATCTGAACTCTGATACACGCTGTTGATGCCTCATGGAAACACATCAATTTAAAGGATTACGTGTCCTCTTACTAAGACAAGTCACTTATTTTTATTGAAGTGGCTGATACTTTTATAATGTTATGGTGAGGCTTTGCATGCTTTAATTTTATCAATATTTCTTTAGACTTATTTCTGTGGATTTCTGGTGAGCACCATTTTCACTTAGAAAAATCTGTTTCTTTAGACTTTCAAAGGTTAAAAACAAAATTGATTTCAATTCAGAAAGCCTCCCATTGTCAAACTCGCAAAAATATGTAACAACCAGGAGAGGTTTGAGTTAGTTGCTTTACATGTCTACTATTGCCTAAAATCCAGAAACATTCTGCATTGATTCTAAAGCATTTAAAAATATTTCCCTCATATATTTTCCCACATTACTTTAACATTTATTAATTGGAATATTTTTTACTAGGTCTATCATATGTTCTAGACAAGTTCCAGCTGACCATGTCTGTTTTCTGAATTTATAAAATTTCACAAGATAGATATAGTCCCTGTCCTCATACACTAATATTTTAACATGTTGCTGTTGTACATTTATGCAGATCAATGAAGGAAAACCAACACAGTTTTCTTTTTCTTTTTTTGAAGGGGTTTTTGCTATATGGCATGTACACTCGCTGGAGAGACAGAGACAGAAAGGGAGAAATCACCCCCAAAGAGGAGATGGCCATGTCATAATCCCTCCTCCTTCATTCTCTTCTTGGGATCTTGGGCATGCGCACATATGTGCCCAGTATGAATTTAAGCTCCCAGGTCCTGGAATCGAACTTCCATTGGCTACGTGGGAGTTTAGTGGCATAACCATTACCCTATCTACTGGTCCTTCCAACATAGTTTTCATGTGCCTGGGAAAAATAACTAAATTGATCATATTTTGACTATAGTTATACATGAGAAAATTGATAGGCTAAGATCACATTAAATTCACTTTAACTTAAAGAGCAATCCTCTGTGAGTACTTTTCAGGATCTTAAGAAATTACATACATGCATTTGCATGTGCAAATACTAAGGGTCAGGCTTTTAAATATTCTTATATAGTTGTTTATATAGCTGACATCAATTTGCACTATCTCTGAAAACTCTCTATTATACATTATTTTTAGCAACTCAAAAACTAGTCAACATAATTCCTATTAAAATTCAAATTAGTTTTTAGTGATCATGTAAAAAATTTTGGCTGAATTAGAAGGACCAGCAGGTGGCATGGTGTTAAGGCTATGGACTACCACATGGCTTCCGTGTTTGAGTTCTGGACCTGACAGCTTGACACTCTTCTGAGATTTGTGTTCAAAATCTCAGAAGGAGAAGGGATTTGGCCATGGCCATCTGCGCCCTCCCCACCCCCAAGTGATTTTTCACTTTGCCTCTCACTGTCTCACTCCAGCCAGCACATGCATCCTATGGAAAGCAAAACAAAACAAAAAACCAAACAAAAAGCCTTAAAAAAAAGGAGGGGGGGGGGATCAGCAAATGGCTTAATGGTAATGTCAGTGGACTGCCATGTAGTTGACTGTGGTTCAAGTCCTGGACTCAGTGGCTTAAAACATGTCAGGTGCAAATGCGTGCATGCCCAAAATCCCAAGAGGAGAATGAAGGAGAAAGGATTGCAGCTTGGCCATACCCCGGGAGGTGATTTCTCGCTTTTTGTCTCTCTGTGGAGTGCATGCACCCTATAGCAAAAATCTCTCAAAAAAAAAAGAAAAGAAAAGAAAAGGAAAGAAAAGAAAAGGAAAGGAAATGGCAATGCTGAATGTTTTAAAGGTCAAGTATACATGCCTATATTTGATAGCATGAGTTATATTAGTCCAATTCTTTGCTGGAAACTTGTAAAAATAATTGACTTTTGACAATGAAGCTATTCATGCAGTGTGTTCATTTTTTTTTAAGAATATATCATTTTATTTAAAGATTTTCTCTTTGAAAAAAGAGGTAGATGATAGATTTCAACATCCAGGGAATAATTTTTTTTTCTGTATTAAATCATTGAAAATGCCTTTGATTATTTAGCAGTTGAAATTGTGAATAACCACACCAGAGTAATGTGTAAGGATTGTCTCACCAGTTGATCATATGCTTGTGGTGCAATTATCAAACGTGTTTGCTGTTTAAACCTCTGCTTTTGATCACATGTATCCGTTACCCACAAACCCCAAAGTGAAGGAAACGAGCTAGATTCTTTTCCTCTGGTTCTTTCCTGAGTGAACGTCTATTATTCATCTTGGCTGCTGGCATCCGTATTAGGTGGCAGAAAACTTTGCTATTCTTCAGTTAATTTTAGAGTTATCTCTATGCATTTCATGTTTTTGATGATGCGATTTGGAGGCGAAACCATCTCTATACAGTCCCAGATGGAGTAAATAAAGTCGACCAGCATGGAGACTTACTGTGGTGGTCTGATCTTGGATGAATACATTTATTTGTGTGAGCATTCCTGTCTCACCTCTACATCCTCTGTAGATGTTTTCCTGTGTGGCTGTTGTCCTCTACTTTTGCCAGCTGAGGCACTGCTGTTTACATTTTCCCACATTCAGTTCCTTGTTATATCCTGCAGCAACTGGCTAGGCCTCAACCATGCCAGGGTGACAGTGGCTGACCACAGCCTTCGAATGCATAGTTAGGTAACGGTATTCCTAAAATCTGTTCCCTGCAGGTCAGCTGTTTATGAAAAGAGCAGAAGTAGAAATACAGAGAATGTAGTATGATCTTAAAATGATAAGTTTATGGACCCAGCAGCTGGCGTCATGACTGTGTCATTGGACTCCCATGTAGTCAACCGTGGTTCGAGTCCCAGACCTGGTGGCTTGCTTTCTCACTTTTTTTCTCTCTCTCTCTCTGTGTCTTTCTCTGGTCAAATTAAAATAAATAAATGAATAAATAAAAATAAATAATTTTTAAGAACCCAACAAATCAAATTATTTTGAAAGGTTCAGTGCTGTAGAAAAATCTCAGAAATTTATATAACATGTATTTTAGCAATTTATGTAATCTTATGAAAATCATAGTTTTTTGAAGAAATTGGAAAAGTGCATCATAAACGACAAGCCATCTAATGAGCTACTGTCCTTTGTGCATGGTGGGTGCTTTGGCTAATGGAAACTGCATGAAGATTCCTACCCTAAAAGGCACCTTGGTTAATGTTTCTGAGCCTTCTAAAGGAATAAAGGCCAATGATATTATCTGCCTACTGGAGTTTGCTTTTTCACTCCAAGAGAGGAAGTTGGGTCCCAGCTCCAGCGTATGTGGCTTCTTTCCAAGAAGAGAGTCAAGGTCATCTTTTCTAAATTGGCTAAGAGGAGCTATCAGGAAGTGAGACTCTAGTTCGTGTCTGACTCTCTCTAAAGCTTGCAAACATGAGAGGGTCAATCTCTTCGAGGTGGATCTCCATGGATTTGAGTACCAGGCCTGTATCTAGGTTACCACTTTCCCCTAAGCAGTGTGGACATTTATTCTCTTGTTATGGGAAATAATGACAACACTCAACTGACTCAAAAGGCAGGAGGTTTGTTAACTTCATAGAAAAGGATGTAATCAAATAGGAATAGAATGCATACAAGCTGGGTCAATGGATTTTGTCCTGTTATCCATATAGCATTCTGCCCTCTTTGGACACTGTTATCCCACCAGGTCTGTGTAACCACCCATGGTTAGAAATCAACCTGTGCCAGGGGACCAGCAGATGGCACAATGGCTATCTCACTGGACTCCCATGTAGTCGACCGTGGTTCGAGTCCTAAAGTCGGTGGCTTAAACTCATGCTGGGCGCTTATGCGTGCGTGCCAAAGACCCCGAGAGGATAATGGAGGAGAAAGGATTGTGGCATGGCCAACCCCCCTGGAATGTGATTTCTTGCTTTCTGTCTCTCTGTCTCTCTCTGTCTTTCCGGTGAGCACACACACCCTATAGCAAAAACAAACAAACAAACAAAACAAAACAAAACAAAACAAAACAAAAAACCCCACAAAAACCCAAAAAATAAAACTCTCCAAAAACTAACCTTTGCTTTTACGGAAACAAATCTCAAACTCAGCATATATCAGAAACATCTGGAGAGAAGTTATAACACAGATTACTGAGCTCCAACCCGGAATTTCTGATTTGGCAGATATAGAGTGGGGCTCAAGAATCTGTATTGCTAACTTGTGTCTGGGTTATCCTAATATTGCTGGTCTCACCACCCTTTGAGAACAGCAAATAAATCCATTCCATAGTGTTGAGTTTTCCTGGCACTTCTGTTAGGAAGAGGAGAGAGAATGTGGAGTAGAAAAATACATTCCTGGGACCAGCAGTTAGCGTAATGGCTATGTCGCTGGACTCCCATGTAGTCGCCCGCCGTTCGCATCTTGGACCCGGTGGCTTAAAACTCACGCTGGGCGCGTGTGCATGTGTGCCCAAGATCCCGAAAGAAGAACGGAGGATAAGGGATTGTGGCATGGCCATTCTGCCCCCCCAGGGGTGATTTCTCGCTTTCTATCTCTCTGTCTCTCTCTGTCTGTCCTGGTGAGAGCACACGCTCTATAGCAAAAACCTCTCCATAAAAAAAAGAAAAAAGAAAAAAGAAAAATACATTCCCTGTTTTCAAGGAG